CTACATATCGAGGACTAAGCTTCCTCTTTTACCTCATTACACCCTTCATGGGTGAAGTTTTCAAGTAACCCAATCCTGAACATCAAACTCAAGATCTCTCTTCTAACATCAGCATATGACTTTTGTCGACTTTGAGCCGTTTTTAACTTTTCTCTAATGAGTCGAACATTCTCCATAACCTCATGTACCAACTCGGGACCTATTAGGGAAACTTCACCCACCTCAAACCAACCTATATGAGATCTACACCTCCTACCATAAAGATCCTCAAATGGAGCCATACCAATACTTGAGTGATAACTAATGTTATAAGCAAACTCAACCAATGGCAAATGGTCATCCAGTTACCCTTAAAATCAATCACACAAGCTGTCAACATATCTTCCAAAGTTTGGATAGTACGCTCCGCTTGCCCATCAATTTGTGGATGAAAGGCCGTACTAAGCTTTACACGAGTACCAAGGCCATTCAGAAAGATCTCTAAAACTAAGAAGTGATTTGGGTATCACGATCATAAATAATGGAAAAAGGCACTCCATGAAACTTTACCATTTCTCTCAAGTACAACTTAGCATAATCCTCCACCGAATAGAAAACCTTGACGGGAATAAAATGAGCCGATTTCTTCATTTGGTCTACTATGACCCAAATCGAGTCATGTTGTTACCGGGTGTAAGGAAAACCAACAATAAAGTCCATGTTCACATCTTCCCACTTCCAAGTAGGAATGCCAGTATCTTGGATAAACCTCCTATTTCTGATGCTGAACTTTCACTTGTTGACAATTAGGACACTTATCCACAAATTCCGCAATGTCTTTTTTCAGCCCATTCCACAATAGATCTCCCACAAATCAAGGTACATCTTGGTGGCTCATAGGTGAATAGAATACCGAGAACTATGGGCTTTTGACAAGATATGTTCCCTAAAGTCATCAACATTAGGAACACACAAACGACCTTGATATCTAAGTACACCATCTTCCCCTTGGGAGAAAGCCTCAACGGATTTCTTAAGCACCATTTCCTTCAATTCAACCAAAATTGGATCAAGACCTTGCTTGGCTTTCACATCCTCCACAAAAGACGATTCTAAACCATTATGGACCATAACAGCTCGTGGTTTGACCTACGGTCCGTGTGTCCGACCATGGGTCTACCCTTAGACAATTTTTTTTCTAGACTATTCTGGGAGGGCTGCATGTGGCCATCCACGAACCCCCACTTACGGTCCGTGGGTGGTGCCCATCGGTGGCACCTGCAACTTCTAAAATTTGCATTCTAATTTGTCTAAGATACGGGGTGTTACATTATCTTCCCCTTGGGAACATTCATCCTCGAATGAAGACTAAACTAGCTGAAAAAGGGAGGGAAGGAGCTGCACACCCTACCACTAAGTGCTAAAATTGATTTCTGACTGAACTGTGTTCCAAGAACATGCAAATACGCTGAAATGCAAGTATAACTGAAGGAACATGATACTAAGACTAAATTTATGCATGAGTAGCTGAAAGACTAGAGAGGAACTATTACCTCAAGCTAGAATGGAATCGGAAGGAAAGAGTTGAGGATACTTGGCCTTCATGGTTGCTTCTGCTTCCCAAGTAGCTCCCTCTATGGACTGACTCCTCCACAAAACCTTCACTGATGCGACTTCTTTGTTTCTCAACCTTCGAACCTGACGATCAAGAATCTCAACTGGTACCTCTTCATAAGTGAGACTATCCTTCACAACCACACTCTCTAATGGTACTATGGATGCTGGATCACCCACACACTTCTTCAACAAGGAAATATGAAAGACTTGATGGACTGTTGCTAGTTCTGCTGGCAACTCTAACTCATACGCCACTTTACCAATCTTTTTCAAGATTATGTAAGGGCCTACATATCTAGGACCGAGCTTCCCTTTCTTGCCAAATCTCATCACCCCCTTCACAGGTGACACCTTTAGGAAAACCCAATCATCAATTTAGAACTCCAAGTTCATTCTCCTTACATCTACATAGGACTTCTGATGACTTTGGGCTGTCTTAAGTCTATCTCTAATGAGCTGACCTTTTTCTATAGCGTCATGCACCGTATCTGGCCCTAGCAAGGCTGCTTCACCTACTTCAAACCAACAACCTGGAGATATGCATCTACGATCATATAATGCCTCATAAGGGGCCATCTGAATACTGGAATGATAGCTATTATTGTAGGCGAACTCTATAAGAGGAAGGAGATCATCCCAAATACCCTTGAAGTCGATCACACAAGATCTCAACATGTCCTCTAAGGTCGAAATGGTACACTCTGCCTGACCATCCATCTGAGGATGAAATGTTGTACTAAGGTTAATATGGGTACCAATAAATTTCTGAAAAGACTTCCAGAAATGAGAGGTAAACTGAGGACCTCTATCCGAAATGGTAGACAAAGGAACCCTATGCAACCTGACTATCTCATTAATGTAAAGATTGACATAGTCCTCCACCAAATCTGTAGTCTTAATAGCCAAAAAGTGCGCAAACTTAGTAAGTCTGTCAACTATCACCCAAATGGAGTCATGCAATCTACGAGTACGAGGTAAAACTGTAATGAAGTCCATGTTGATCACTTCCCAGTTCCATGTAGGAATGATGATCTCTTGAGTCATACCTCCTGGTTTTGATGTTCTACCTTCAACTACTAACAATTGTGGCACTAAGCCACAAAATCTGTCGCAGATCACGATATATCTTGGTGGCACATGGATGAATAGAATACCTGGAGTTATGAGCTTCTGTAAGGATCTACTGTCTCAACTCACCCACCTTAGAAACACATAGACGACCTTGGTAGCGAAGCACACCATCTCCCCCTTGGGAGAAAACGTCAACTTTATGTTAATTAACTGCATCCTTTAATTGAAGTAATATCAGATCACTATCTTTGTTTCCCTTAACCTCCGCTACTAATGAAGATTCTGACCCATTCTGAACTGTTATACCCCCATCTGATATGCTCATAAGGTGAACTCCTAAGTAAGCAAGTCGGTGAACATCCTTTGCCAATTCCTTCCGTTCTTCCTCAACATGTGCTACACTACCCATAGAGAATCTGCTAAGAGAATTAGCTACTACATTGAACTTACCAGGATGGTAAAGCACATTCATATCATAGTCTTCGAGTAACTCAAGCCATCTTCTCTGGTGAAGATTCAACTCTTTCTGGGTGAACACATACTGAAGACTCTTATGGTCTGTGAACACATTTACATGAACACCATACATGTAACGTTTCCAAATCTTTTGGGAAAGTACTACGGCTGCAAGCTCGAGGTCATGAGTCAGATAGTTCTTCTCATGCACCTTAAGCTGCCTAGAAGCATAACCTATAACCTTACCTCACTGCATCAACACACAACCTAGGCCGACTCTGGATGCATCACAATAGATAACATAACCATCTGAACCCTCTGGTAGAGTCAAAACTGAAGCTGTAGTCAACCTAGTTTTCAGTTCTGAGAAGCTCTTCTCACACTCATCTGACCACTGAAACTTAAACTTTTTCTGAGTCAACTTAGTCAATGGAGAAGCTATGGATGAAAATCCTTCCACGAAACTTCTGTAATAACCAGCCAACCTCAAGAAACTTCTGATATCTGTTGGAGAAGTAGGTCTGGGCCATTGTTTCACTGCATCTATTTTCTGAGAATCCACTCAGATCCTCTCGCTAGATACTATATGCCCAAGGAAAGCAATAGATTGCAACCAAAACTCACATTTGCTAATATTAGCAAACAACTGGCGATCTTTGAGAGTTTGTAAGACAACTCTCAAATGAGTCGCATGTTCTTCCTCATTCCTAGAGTAAATGAGGATATCATCAATAAAGATGATAGAGAACAAGTCTAAATACTGCTTGAATACTCTGTTCATCAAATCTATGAAAGCTACATGAGCATTGGTTAGTCCAAAATGACATAACTACAAATTCATAATGTCCATACCGAGTTCTGAAGGCTATTTTTGGGATGTCACTACCTCTGACTTTTAGCTGATGATAACTGAATCTGAGGTCTATTTTTGAAAAATGACTAGTACCCTAAAGTTGGTCAAACAAGTCATCAATCCTGGAGATGGGATACCTATTCTTGATTGTGACTTTGTTTAACTACCGATAGTCAATGCATATCCCAGAGAACCATCTTTCTTTTGCACAAACAACACTGGTGCACCCCACGGGGAAATACTGGGTCGGATGAAGCCCTTATCTAGAAGGTCTTTAAACTGCTCTTTCAATACCTTAAGCTCAGCTGGAGCCATTCAATAAGGAGGAATAGGAATAGGCTGGGTATCTGGAAGGAGATCAATTTTGAAGTTGATTTCCCTTTCGGGAGGAACTCTAGGAAGATCTTCTGGAAACACTTCAGGGAACTCATTTACTACAGGAACTAACTCAAGAGTTGGGGTTTCAGAGCTAGAACCCTTAAACCGAACTAGATGATAGATATACCCCATGGAAATCATCTTTTGGACCTTAAGGTAAGAAATGAATCGACCCCTAGGCACTGAGCTACTGCCCTTCCACTCTAAGACTGGCTCACTTGGAAACTGGAAACGAACGATCCTAGTTCTACAATCGACTTAGGCATAATAAGAATGTAACCAATCCATGCCTAGAATGACATAAAAGTCTACTATTTCTAACTCTACAAGATCTATTGAGATGAATTTCTGAGAGACTGTGACGGGGTAATTTATGTATACCCGTCTAGCTATAATTGGGTCACCAACTAGAGTACAGACTGAGAAGGGTTATAAAAGAGTTTTTTGACTGACACCAAAGTTCACTGCTATATATGGAGTTACAAAGGAAAGAGTAGACCCTGGATCTAACAAAGCATAAACATCTAAGTGGAAGACTCGCAACGTACTAGTGACCACATCAGGAGAATCTTCATAATCCTGGCGAGCCTGAAAGAGCATACAACCTGTTCTGATACTGACCGCCACCTTTACCAGATGAAGTACCCTACTGAGTTGGGAGACTTGCTAGTGCTGCTGGAGCTGTAGACTGAGCCCTACTAGTGTCACCTCCTTGTCCTTGTTTAGAAGAAGGGCAATAATCTCTTAACCTGTGACTAGTTTGACCACACCCAAAACATCCTTCCTTTCCTACAAGACACTCGCTCGAATGGTTCTTTCCACACTTTGGACAAGTTGAGTAGGTTCTGGTAACTGAAACACTTCCCTGAGACTTAGATCCTGATGCCCTACCTTTCTGATCCTGTCGAAACTTGGAAGATGGAGCACTAGCTGATGAAGGTACTGGAGTTGAAGATTTCTGCTGAAATTGCGAGCGATTTCCACCACCCAATTTCTATTGAGAGTACTAATAGTTGCCTATTCTAGCCTTTTTATTATCCCTAGCCTGTTCCCTAAGCTTGTTTCCCTCAACCTGCTGAGCATGAGTCATGAGCCTAGAGATGTTCATATCTTCCAACATCATAGCATTCCTGCACTCTGTCTTCATTAAGCCGAACATACCATATAGAAACTTAGACATCTGTGCCCTCGAATCAGCGACCATATGCGGAGCATACCTGGAGAGTTGGGCGAAATTAAGTCCGTACTCTTGGACCGACATTGTACCTTGCCTCAAATTCATAAATTCCTGAGCCTTTGCCTCTCTCAACTCTCTTGGAAAGAACCTGTCCAAAAAAGCTCCTGTAAAACACTCCCAAGTCACAGAAGCTGCATTCTCACCCCTGTTTTCTTTCCGCTGCGTGAACCATATGTGAGCTACATCCTTGAGCTGGTAGGACGCCAACTCTACCCTATCATTTCCAGTCACTTGCATCACTCCAAAGATTTTCTTGATCTCATCAATGAAGTTCTAGGGGTCTTTTCCAACGTGCGACCCTAGAAACTCAGGTGGATTCATCCTAACAAAATCACGGACCCTAGACGCCACTGATCCACCAATAGCATTTGCAGGAATTGGAACCTGCTGATTGTTCTGGTTAATCACACTCTGAGCGAAAAGTTGAATCGCATTTTGAAACTCTGCATTTGAAACTTTCTGTTCTGGGACTGGAGGAGCTACGTTATCATTCCTGGCATTCACATTCCTTACGTAAGCTCTACGAGGAGGCATGATCTGAAACACATAACAATGAGTTAGAAGGTAAATCATACCCACGCACGATAAGAATAGCAAGAAAATGATATTTTCCTAAAACACTTCATAGCCTCCCTCTCATTAGATATGGTGCACTTCACACCCATGAAAAGGACTCTACTTAGTATGGCTTTTCAGACATCCTAGGACTCATAAACCTAATGCTCTGATATCAAGTTTTTCACACCCGAAGCTACCCCTAAGTCATAAACACGTGACCTAGGATCACGAGTGACCCTAAGCTAACCCTGAGCTAGCATATCATAAGTATATTTAATAGAAATACTATGTGTGTCACGCCCCGAGCTACCCTCGAGACGCGGACACGGGACCTAGGACCACAAATGATCCCAAGCTAACCCTGCTGGCATGATCATGAGCATACTAAAGAAAATAAACTGATGCAGAAGCTAATTCATAATTAAATCTGAAAAGATGGGGAATACCCATATACTATAACTGAATATATGGAATCTGAGAGTTTAATACAAAAGAAATATCAAACTCAAAACACTAAGCTGAATCTAACTATGTCTGAAATAAGCCTCTAAATTGATTAGAAATGTTGGGACATCCCCCAACTAGATCTAGCAAAACTGAAACTAAAGACTAAAGATACTGAAAAGAAACTCATGACTATTGTCCTCGAAGAATGAGGACTCACCACTGATTCTGCTGAACTGGAGATCGGGAACCGATCTAAGCGTGATCTGGATACTGAGAACCTAAACCTACATCACGAGAAGATGTAGCGCACGTATGTGTCAGTACTTGAAAGGTACTGAGCATGCAGGATAGAGTAAAACTGAAATAACATATAACTGAACAAAGCATATTGAGCAATGATATAATCTGAACATGATATAGATACTGAAAATACTGAATACTGAGCTAACTGAATGCAATGACCAAATTTATAACATGCTGAGACTGAATACTAACTGTACTGAAATATGGTCAATGCAATAGAGTCTGACTGAACTGTGGGAGCTACTAATAATCGACATAAAACCACATGAGCTAAATGTGGAGTCCGATGTATACGCCCCATCGAGAGGACCCAATATACCCTGCCAGAGGTATAGAGGCATTCTGGCGTGATCACTAAACTGATGTTGCCCACAGAGGGGACTTACACCTACGTGGCTCGTAGTTCTGGGACTATATGGGTACGCTGAAACCCTAGTCCAACTCGGTATTATGCTACTCCCAATGAATTAAGTGGTTAACTGGTTATGACTGAATTTCTGTAAATACTGGATAGCTCGAAACTGAACATGCAAACTGAGAATGCAACAATTAATCTGATAATGATGCATTCATAAACTGAGGCATGTATAACTGAATATATTATGACTGAGATACTGAATAGCTTAAAATACTGACATGTAAATACTCATACTTGAAAACTCCTTTTTAGAAAACAATACTTTGATCATTGATGACTTGGGAAGTCATACTGTATAAACATTGATGGTATATCTAGATACCATACTATTCATACATTGATGACCTACTCAATTGTCATACTAATCATGTATTAGAAGCTCTTTCTCAAAACTCATCTTAACTTTCTCAAAAACTCAAAATAGGGTTTATGCTGAAATATACTGATAATGTGGCATAAAACTGGAGCATATATATCTTAATAACTGAAATATCTGACCTAGCATGTGTAATTCAAGAACTAATGAAATACATAGCTAGGGTTCTGAAATTTATGTAAGAAACTGAGCAATAACATGATAATCTGATTTGGAACATTTAAATAAATAATTCATAATGATCTGTTGAAATTCTAGAAACCCTAGGTCTGTTCATAATCATGGAATCAAGAATCTGACTGAATTCTAGGGACCTAATGGGCGAAAGGAACCCACTAGTGAAATCCCACATACTTGGCGACGAATTCCACGGAGAAATCTTTCGATTTTGGGGCTGGAACTGAAGAAACCTCGCTGCGTTCTTGAACTAGGGTTCTTGACCTTTTTCTCCTCTCTTGCTTCTAATTTTCTAAGTTTGATTAATGATTTTGACTAAGGTAAGTTCTAGTTATGTTTCTAGGCTTAAACTAATTAAAACCTCATGATTTAGGGTCTAAACGACGTATCTTAGGGGTTAAACAAAATAGGAAAAGACCAAAGGACCCCTGAATTAACTGCTGTCGGAGTGACCTACGGATTGGAGCTACGGGCCGTAGGTCAATCTACGGTCCGTAGATTGCGTCCGTAAGTCAAGCCTGTTCGACAGGCCTTCACTAAAACGAGTATAACTTTTTACTCGAAGGTCAGAATTTAGGAAACTCGGTGGCGTTGGAAAAATAATTCAATTATCTATCTAACCATAGGTAATGGGACACATAATTCATTTTGTGCTAAAAGTTATGACCATATGAAGTTGACCCATCAGAATTTTCAGCTAACTGGCTGCTATCCTTCGATCTACGGTCAGACCTACGGACCGTGGATCGAACGACGGTCCGTGCTGGTCAACCGTAGTTCATGTCAGAGGCTGGGTAAATGAGGTCTTGATCCACGGACACAGACCACGGACCGTGGGTCTGTCCGTGGGTCGAGACTTAGCCAATTTTTTCTGAGCTGGTTTGGGGAGGGGTTGCAGTGGCGAACCACGGACCACCAGCACGGGCCGTGGTCTGACCTACGGTCCGTGGATGGTGACCGTAAGTTGCACCTGCAACTTCTCAAAATCTGCATTCTTGTCTGTTTTGAATACGGGGTGTTACAATGTGGAAGCATAAGATATAAGATAAACAGAAATGATGGGGAATACCCATTCTCAATTTGAATATATAATACTGAATAAGAGTTTTAATAATATTGGAAAATCAAACTCAACTAAAGCTGAATGTAAACTGTCTGTGAAATAAGCCTCTAATTGACTAAAGATGCTGGGACATGCCCCAACTAACTATAACAAATACTGAAAACTGAAATGATAGGACTAACTATAGAAATATGTCTATTGTCCTTGAAGGATGAGGACTCACCAGTGAAGCTGCTGAACTGGAGATTAGGAATCGATATAAGGATGATTTGAGTGTTGAGAACCTGGACCTAAATCACGAGAAGATGTAGCGTAGAGTATGAGTCAGTACTTGAAAGGTACTGAGCATGTAGGATAAAATAGAGCTAAATAAAACATATAACTGAAGAAAGCGGTAAATCAATGATATAATCTAAACGTGATAAATATGCAAAACATGCTGAATATGAACTAACTAAATGTAGTGACCAAGTTTATAATATACTGAAACTGAAGACTGAAGACTGAACTATAACTGATAACCTGGTCAATACACCAAAATTTGACTGTGGGAGCTACTATTTACCGATATAAAACCACATGAGCTAAATATGAAGTCGGATGTATACTCCCCATAGAGAAGACCCAATATACCTTGCGAAAGCTATAGAGGCATGACTTGTGTGATCACTAAGTATAATGCCCACATAGGGGACTTAACCTACGGGGGAACGTAGTTTTGGGACTATGAGGGTGACTGACCCTAGTCCAACTCTGTATTAATCCTACTCCCAATAGAATGTATAAAATACCACATAAATGAAATAACTGAATAGCTCAAGATTCTGACATGCTAATTGAAAATGCAACATTAAGTACTGATAATGAAACATTTATAAACTGATGCATGTATATCTGTATAAACTTACCTAGCAAGTGCAATTCATGAACTGAACGTATCTACACAACTAGGGTTCTGAATTTCATGCAAGAATTGAGCAACGTAGTTAAGAAAACATAACATTCTGATTAGTATTAGTCTAATAGCTAAATCACATCATTAATATGAAGTTCTAGAAACTCTGGGTCTATACATAATGAAGGGAATCAAGAATCTAACTGAGTTCTAGGGACCTAATGGGCGAAAGGAACCCACTAGTGAAATCCCACATACCTGGTGACAAATTCCATGGAGAAATATCTCGATTTTGGGGCTGGAACAGACAGAACCTTTCTACGTTCTTGGACTAGGGATGCTAGACTCTTTCTTCTTTTTTTCGTTCAACTTAGATGAATTTTGGAGAATGAGTTGACTTGGGTAAGTTTTAATGAAGTTACTAGGCTAAAACTTACCAAAACTACGTAGTCTAGGGGTTAAACGACATAGTTTAGGGGTCCAACACATAGGGGAAAAACCAAACGACCCCTGACTGAAAAGTTGTCGGGGTCACCGACGGACCGTGGATGGACCAACGGTTTGTTCTAGTCGGCCATTGTTAAACGACTAGGAGTCGGATCTGGGGGTCTTGATCTATGGACCAGGACCACCACCCGTGGTCTAACCTACGGTCTATGGGTCCGGCTGTGGGTCGACCCTTAGATAATTTTTTTCTGGACTATTATGGGAGGTGGCCATCCACGGACCCCTACCTATGGTCCGTGGGTCACCCTACGATCCGTGGGTGGTGCCCGTCGGTGGCACCTGCAACTTCTGAAATCTCTATTCTAGTTTGTCTAGGATATGGGGTGTTACAACATTGGTTGAACAAGACTTGAGAGACACCTTTGAGTTGATAAGCGGCCAATTTTGCTTTTTCCATTTTTTTTGTGTATTTTTGATCTTTAAGTTTTGATGATTGGAGTATGTTATTTTTTCTTATATTAGAGTGTTTTATTTGGTTTGATTTATCTCTTATTGCTTTTTTATTATCTCTCAATTTTGCAACTACCCCATGAGTTTTGAAAATCGTGCAATGCTCTAGTTTTCATTGATAATAATTCGAGGATCAATTGTGTTCAATATTGATAGCTTGAATAGTACTCATGATGAACATGATGTATAGTTTCTATGTTTCAAGAATGAAATCGATGTGGTTGCACTTTTAAGCAATCTCTTTGAATCTTTTGTTGACTAGCTATGTTTTGATGTGAGTCTTGCAATGAACATCACACATACGTTTTTGATATTTTCTGGTTTTACTAAATGAGTGTAT